CGTTAAAAACAAAAAATCCCATTTTTACTTTTAAACTCCAACTTCGTTTGAACTACTTCAATTTATTAACTAGGTTTTAATAGCAGCTTCACATGGAGGAATACCACTTTGGGGAGTTTCATCTTTTGAGACACAGCAGTACTTTGTTTAGATTTAGGAAGACAAGGACTAGTGTAAATCAGAGGTAGTGTTAAGGGACCATTTGGAAAAAAAGGGAACAGGGTTCAAAAAGAATTCCAAAGTCCTAAGAGTTATTGAAGGTGGTAAGAAATCAAAGCACCTGAAGACCTCTGCAGAAGTGTCTGGATACTTCCAATATTTCTGAAAAAGGAAAGTTCATGATTTAAAACACCATCTCTCAACTACCTAGGAATATACTCAAGTCAGGGATGAGACAAGGTAATCACCATATTTTGGAGTTGGGGATAAAGAGAAGACTATAGGCCAGTACTGTACTTTTAGTGGTCATACCCTTTGTAATTCCATTTCTAGAAATTATTATTTTCTTGTTGTTGTTTTTTTTTGAGACAAAGTCTCACTATGTAGCCCAGGCTGGCCTCAAATTCCTGGCGATCCTCCTGCTTCAGCCTCCCTGAGCCACCATGCCTGATTTTCTAGAAATTATTCTTAATGAAACCATTAAGTGAGACCAGGTCTCATGTCTGAATTCCTATTTAACCTCGCCTGACCCTTGTATTCCACAATAATCAGGTGAAGTATGTTTTTTTTCATTACTATGAATATTTGGTGATCAAGAGGGCCCCAGACAGCCAACCCCTCTAGCCTGTCTATTGCATAATGTCTAGAATATGTGGGCAAACTACTCGGTGTCAAGACTAGCCCAAGGAAATAATGATCTTTGCTCTTGAGAACTGTAGAACTAAGAAGGATCTCATCACCAGGCAATTAGGAGGAGATATTCATCATTAGGCCACAAACCTTCACCTGTGAGATGGTGTCTACCAGCCTCTTAGATCATGCATCCTCTACATAAACAGCCCGAGTGAGCTCCTGGGAAGGCTGACTCTTCGGGAACAAGAATGCCTGCCATCTTCTTATCAGATAGCCTATCATAATGAAGTTCTTTCTCTACTATATCCTTGCCCTCAACTGATCGGCTTTCATGGTGTGGCAAGCAGGGCCAGCATTTTGTGCAGTAACATTAGGATAATGACTGTGGACAGTTTTGCTTTTTTTTTTCTTTTGGTGCCGGGGATCAAACTCAGGTCCTTGCACTTGCAAGGCAGGCGGCAGAACCACAGACCTAAATCCCAGCCCTAGTTAGATTTCTTTTTATTTTTTTGGTACAGGGAATTGAACTCAGGTCCTTGCGCTTGCGCAGCAGGCGCCAAAACCACTGAGCTAAATCCCCAGCCCTTGTAGACAGTTTTATAAGCAAACATTCACTGCAATATTTATCATACAAGAATATCATAGGGGATTTGTTAACAGTACATTTGTACAATAGAGTTTTATATACCCAACAGATATTTATGAAGCATTTCATAATATGACGTCTATAGTGAGTGTACACGATGCAAAATTAGTAAGGAGAAATTTTCTCTCAGTTGTTACACACCAAACAAATGAACAATAAAAACAAGAGAGTAGATGGAAATAGCCATTAGTGGGTTTTGTGTGTGTGTGTGATGGTAGATTAAGTTGCAAAAATATACACTCATGTTTTTGTTTCCTGCAAGTTATACTTTAACAACAAAAAAATTTCCTCCAAATCAAGCTAACTAGCAATCTTCACGGAATTGAGGAGTATGAACTATTCAAAGAATTTCTCTTTGTTTTTGACAAACAACAATGATGGCCTCTTTCCTCACAACGTGTACAGTAACTCAATTCCCCATGAGTTTACAGCGCTTTCTTCTACAGCTGCAAAAGTTCTTTTTAATGAAAGTAAGCATAGGGCCAGGGATGTATCTCAGCGGCACAGTGGCTGCCTGGCAATTTGAGACCTTGAGTTCGATCGATCCCTGGTACCAAAAAGAAAGTAAGAGTATAGGACTAAATTATTGAAAGATCTGTCTTATTTAAGACTGCAGCCTTTTAGATGGCATATTGCAAGATTGGTTAAGTAAATGCATTCTAACCTCTCTACACTTTCTTTTCAAAAACCACACATTGAGGAGATTAAAGCTGTCCCTATCAGCTATAGCTGCAGCTTCATGTTGTGGATTGTGTATTACCTGATTATAACAACACAATCAAGTTAGCTTCTTCCTCTATACAAGAATAACATCCCAGAAGACTGACATCTAATTGGAAAAATAGGCTCCACATGGAGCTCAGAAGCTGCAGGGTTTTTCTCAGCAAGGACTTTTTAAAATGCAAAACATAATTAAAAAAAAATTACACTGAACATGAAAGTTTTCATGGATGCTAAACATAATGAAAGTGCAAAATATGTGGAATAAAGAGAGTGCCATGATGTAGTCTTTGGAAAATTTCCTTCAATATTTTTTCTTCATCCCTCTGATTTGGACCCATTTAATGCTTCCTAGAGGCAGCACAAACCATTATTTAGCCTATTAACCTTCTGAATAGGACTGTCTTTTCCTAAGCTTAGCTGTTAAAGGAAAGGCAGCAGCCAACTGCTCCTGGGTGGTTTTCTTCCCTGGCATAGAAGGTAACAGGCCTCTCAAGGGTTTGACTTGGGAGTAGCAAAGACATCATTCATCACTAATACAATGGACGAAGAGCTATCTCTTTGCTAATTCCAGTCCCTTTTCTTCTTTGCAATATGCTTATCCTTTTCAGGGAAAGAAAACGAAATAAAAAACAGTTCTTTGATTTTTGCTAGTTATCTGGAAGCTCCTCAGTTTTTGTAATTAGTTTCAACCAATTATGCTGAAGACTGTAGGTTTATGGAAAGCCTTCATTGTCAGGATCAAGGTCAAATCTCTTCTGAATCTACATGTGTTTGAATTAATGGAATGCCAAGAAACATCAAAATTACATTTAATGGCTTAAAACAATTAAAACTTGTAGCCCTTGAATTAGAAAAACACACGGAAATGTTTTCAGAAGTAAAATTTATTAATTACACATACACTTTTGTCTGATATTTGCATCAACAAAGTCAAGCCCTGTACACTGTGGATATTCATAGCCCTTTAGCTACTTTGAAAACTCTCTGGTTGTAGGAAGTCTTATTTTGCAGCTGAGGAACAGGTTTAGGGAGATTAGATAATATTTCTCAAATCACATGACTCACCAGGTTGGACACAAAAAAGAAAGTGTCAAGTTAGAGGAGAAACAAAAATCAAACCCACATTTGTGTACAGTGGCTTCAGAAAGATTTGTTACATTTCACTTTGTGAAATGTTGTTGTATTCAAGCCCTATTACTAATGCAGGTAAGACCAATTCCTTCAGCCTCCGTCCTCACCAAGTACTGAGAGGGGAGCTTCACTTGAGCCTAGTAAGATAGCTGTGTCTGGAAGCAAACAAAAACACAATTTTTTTTTTTTTGCCACTTGGCCTCTTGAATCCTACCATCTAGAAAAAAACCCCATATAACTGGCTATTTTCATCTACTTTTGCTGCTGTTCATTTGTTTGATATATAATAGCTTAGAAAAGAATACTGTCACTATAAACTTTACTATATCATGAAACTTCATAAATATGTGATGGCAAATAAAGCTGTTCTGTAAGTGTACTAATTAACAAGTCCTCTATTAAAATGTTGCAGTGAATGTTTGGTTATAAAACTGTCCACATCTCATTATCCTAATAATTTCTACAAATGGAATTATAGTGCAAAGGGTCTGAGCATTTTTAGTATTCATTTTTCTACTGACTTGTAGTCTTTGTTTCTCTTTCCTGCACTCCAAAGAAGGGGGAGCTTATCTCTCTCTCTCTCTCTCTCTCTCTCTCTCTCTCTCTCTCTCTCTGAGACAGGTTCTAGCTATGTAGTTCAGGCTGATCTTGAACTCCCTGTGTAGCTCAGAACTGGTGGTGATCCTCCCGCCTCAGCCTCCTAACTACAGGAGTGCGCCACCACACCCAGCTGTTTGTTTTTTAATTTAGACTGTAAGTGTCACAGTCAAGGCAAAAATGTGACAATAGCCGGGCATAGTGTAGTCCCAGCACTTGGGAGGCTGAGGCAGGAGGATCGCCACCAGTTCCAGGCCAGCCTGAGCTACACAGGGAGTTCAAGGCCAGCCTGAACTACATAGCTAGAATCTGTCTAAAAAAAAAAAAAATCACAAAACAAACAATGTTGAATATTCTTTTCTAATTTGTCTGATTCACTTTTTCTTTTCAGTTTAGCACAATATTGAAATCCCACTGTCCATTTCTGAGTCATAAAGAAACGCAGAAGTCTCAAGTGCATCTGCTTGTACTGTTTTGCCTCTTAAAATAAAATGAGAACAAGACATGGAGGGAAGAGAAAGGTGAGGAGAAAAGACATTAAGATCTGTTATGCACATGTACCAACTCCACACAAGGATGCAAACATTATGTAATGCAAATATGTACCAATAAAAACTTTTTAAAATAAAGAGGTCAGAAATATTGTATTACTTGGGTGCTTTCAGAGAGCCTCTTATTCTACTGTTTATTTTATTCACAGGTGTTGAATTTGTGCTCAGTGTAATAGGACTCAAAACACGCAAAGAACTGATCAGCCTCTCCTTCCGAGCGTTTGGGGAGTACAACTTTCACGTGTACTAAAGCGATTTTTCCTTCTGGCCTCAGGGTTACCCGTCTGGGCGGGGCCAGCAAGCTAAAACTGCCCGCCCTAGTTTCAGGCGACGAACGCGGGGAGTCTTTCTTTACGTAGCGAGCGTACTGGCCGCCTGCTCAGAGTACCCTTCTCGTCTCCAGGCCAAGGAGCCTTTAGGAAAGCGCTCGGGGCAGAACGCCAGTTTCGGTGGCTACCACGCCTCCAACAGAAAGGCGCTGGCTTCCTACTTGGATGTGGGTGGGGGGCTGCAGAGACATCAAGGCTTTGCTAGTCCAGGAGCGGGGAGTATATTTCCCCAAAAGGGAGTCTACAGAACCACGTAAAACTCAGGCGGCCACAGTCCCGGCAGATCCGTTCTACCCGTACGCTCTTCCGCCCGCGCCGCCGCCGCCGCCGCCCCTCCCCTCGCACACAGGAACCAGCACCCTCCAGTCTCCCGCGCTTCTCTTCCACCAGCCGCCGGGGCCTGCCTTTTATAGTCGCCACAGCCAATAAGCGTCCTCCTTTCCTTCTGCCCGCCCTCCCGGCCAATCGCCGCGCCCCTTGTGTAATTTTCGGCTCCTCGGCTGCTCTCGGTTATTTTCGCTGTTGCTGGCTTTTTCAGGAGCTGTTCGCTTGCAGCCTGAGACGCTGCTTTTTTTCCGGGTTCGGAGCTGTTCCGGATGCTTTAGGTTGCTGGATGTCTGATCTCCGGATAACTGAGGCGTTTCTGTACATGGATTATCTGGTAGGTGCGGGACCGGGGTGGCGTGTCGCTTCTCGGATCGCTTGGTGCCCGCTGGCCCCCTGCCTATAGGAGCAGCCTTTTTGCTTTTTCTTTCTTTGGGATGGGATACCTTTGGGGTTCTTTCTCCCACAGCCAGCTCCGGAGCTGAGCTCGGGACTCGGAGGGGCAGCAGCCGGGGAGGCTGGGTGGTGGGGTTGACAGGTAAAGGTGCGGCCTGGGCGGGTGGGCTGTGGGCGAGGGTCGCGCGGCGCTGCCTGACATCCGTATGGGGCCGCGGCGGCGGAGCGTCCCCTGCCCGCGACCAGTTTCCTTGCTCTGCGTACCCAGCAGAGGACTTTCTTTCCCAGGAAGCTGGAGTTTTCCGCTCTCCCTTGAGCAGAACTCCAGGTGCTATTAAAGAGCCATAATCAGAATGGCTTGCTAAGTGCTCTGCAGCTCCGGTCATTTGGTTGTTATTAGATCTCTAAAGCTTTGACCTCCCTCGGTCGCAGCGGGATTTTAAAAGCACATTACCATTAACTAGACCGGACCAAACTACACTGCAACTCGCAAGAGCAAGATTGGGTAGGGGGAGGCGTTCCCCACTGGGCCGATCGTGGTGCTTGTCGCTGTTGCCCTGTGCACGGATTAGAACCCAGTTTTAGGCTAGGCTGTGCTGAGAAGTTTAAGTGGGAAAAGTGTCAGCACACTGCGAGGACTACCATTGTTGTAAAAATTGACTTGGGCGTGCGTATGTGGAATTATGCAAGCACCGTGTTTTGTTCCAGAAACTATATTTCCCCAGAGCTCCCTATTTGTGGTCAGACAGATCTTTATTTACATGAGTTGTGTTGGATCCTATACAATTACGGTGTGAACGATGTTAGGCTGAACCGCTCTCGCAGCGCCAAACTGAATAGACCCTCCTGTCATCTTGTTGGACACATGTACTCGGTTTTCGACTGCAGAGTGGCCTGGCAGAGATCTGCCAATGCCTTCTAGGAATTACACTTAAGAGAAAGACTGTGAATGCTTTCGTGATCAAGAAAAATGGCCAAGGGCTGGTTTTTATCGTTACCTGTGTGTTGGGGGTAATTTTAACATACGTGAATAAAATGTTCTCCTAAAGCTTCATTGCTTGATGAACTTGGGAAGGATGTGACTGCAGTTAATGCATGACCTTGTGAATGGAGCCCAGTTAAAAATTATGCTTTCAAACTCTTTTGAGTTGTTAATTTGTCGGTGGAGTAACTTCCTTATCTTCATGTTGTAGGGATGTTGTCCACTCACTACTGTAGTTGGTTAAGCGGGTTAATTTGTTTATGAACCTTTTTTAAAATACCAGGTGCCTTGTAGGTTAAGACAGTTGCTAAATAATATGCCCAGATTATTTTCTAGGTTAAATGATTTAAGTTGTAGGTTGTCTTATATACTATGCTTTTTTTTCTCCTGCAGTTTGCCCAAATTAAAGCCAAAGTTTGTTGAAGATATTAGAGTGACATTTCTTATACTACTGAAAGCTAATTTTGGATACTTAATTAAGCAGTGCCTACATAAGGAATTCAGGTGGTTTTTCTTTTTTTTGAGACAGTGTCTCACTGTGTAGCTCAGGCTGGGCTTGAATTCACTATGTAGCCCAGATTGGCCTTGAACTCCGGGTGATCCTCCTGCCTCATCCTCCCGAGTGCTGGGATTAGAGGCATGGGGCACCACACCCAGCATTCAGGTGGTTCTGATAATTTTATTTAGTGTGCTTTAAACTTGCAAATTGAATCAAAAATCTGCCCTGAGATGCCAAACCTATCATAGCATTTAGAGAAAACACTACTGAAAACTCATTTTATTACTCAGATTAACCTCCAACCAGACATAGTCCAAGTGTGGGCAGATGAATGTTTTTGTGCTCAAGGTTACCTTAAAAGCAGGTTAGTGTCTTTGCTGGTTTATTAATAGCTTTATGTCAAAATCAATGGGTCCTAATTTTGACTTTGTGTTTTAATTTTACCTGCCATGCCCCCTCACCTGAGTTTTGCTTTAGCATAAAACATCATTATTTTGCCATTTTCACCACGCTTTTAAAAATTCACCAGTGCAATGAAATAGCCTCAAAAAAATCAATGACTACTCTTTGGGGTGAGGAAAAAAAAACTTTTAAAGGAAGCAATTTAGTTTTCAGAGTGTGGTAGATATCCCTTGTGAAACATTTAAGAAAGGTCCTTCACCATTCAATGGACTAGGAGAAAAAATTCCAAAACAAAAAATCAGCCCTCCAGAGGTGATTTTTTTATGTTAACTTGTTCCTTATCAACTTTTTGCTTATCAACATCACTCCTTTCTTCCTGTCTTTCAGATTGACTTGTTTGCTTATGGACAGTCTTTGTATGGTGTTTATTAAAAACCCTATTTCTTAAAAATAAAAATCAATTTTTTGACTCTGTCTGGGATCATATTTTTAAAGCTAATCAATTCCCAAGTTCTTTTACTTACCCACCAGAAAAAGAAAAGTGCTCCTTTCATTCCAAGTTGGAGTCCAGATTTTGCTGAGTAGGCTGGAGTAAGTGCCCTCTCCATGCACTTGAAAAAATAATGGTGTGTGTCATCTCTTTCTTCTTTTTAATTGGTATTCATCTTCTTGTTGCCTTTGGAAGAGAGAACTGTGTGTATTGTCCATTGTGCTTAGGGCTGGATGTCATGTTAACCTTCTTATTTGGAAGAGAGGAGAAAGAAAAAAAAAAGAGAAAGGTAGAAGTGCTATTTTTAACACCTTTTAGTAGGATTGAGATAGTAAAACAGATGAAGAAGCTCTCTGATTTTGGAGATTGCTGTTAATTTCTTAAAAGACACTGTATTCTCAGAGGTGCCAGCCAAAGTAAATAATTAAGAGAGATTTTTATTGACTTCAGTTCAGGTAATATGCTACCTTGCAAAACCTAAATAATTATATATGCCACCGGGTGTGGTACCTGACTTGGCTTCTGGCACCTAGGGCCCCATATCTATTTGTTGAATCCTGTGAGTATGAGATGGGAGGGGCAATTCCACTTTGTTCACTGGCTTCCAAACTCACACAAGATACTATCTGTTTGGATTGGGTATTTTGTTCTGAGGAATGCAGAATGTATCCTTTATACTTGAAGATTATCAAGATATAATTTGTTTAGCTAAATTGGCAACTGAAATGTAGAAATCTGTTTTCCAGCTGATATGGGTGTCTTCCTAGGAGGCTGCACTCCCTTTTTCCCCCTTTTCGTGTTAGTTTACAGGCTGTGTTCAGGTCTCTGGGTAAAAGACTTGGGTATGTTAACAGGCAGTACCAGCATCTATCTCACTTTCTTCTGATAGGCAGAACTACAGTAGTAGGACAATACGCCTAGCTTTCTAAATAGGAAGAAGAGAATAGGCAAGCTTTAACAAAAGAGAAAAACATATTTGCCAGATTTTTCTGAGAGATTGGACAAGATGAACTTCAAGATTCCTTTCAGTGTCAGATTTTCTTTTTGTGTGGACATGTGTTGATTGGTCTGGATTTTACCTATTTTGGTCTTGTCCTGTCAAAACAACAGAAATAACATTAGTTATATTCCATATAATACCAATGATGATTAAATGGGAGAATGAAAGTAAATTTTTTTTATAAAAGCATATTGCTTTTCAAGTATAAAATGTTAAAGTGTTGTGCATATTTTGTTGATATAACTTGTGTGCAATGACTTCTTTTTTTTTGGAATGACTTAATGGTAAGAACTGGGTTGTTTTTTAACTAATCTGTATGGAAAGATTGGGAGTAGTACAGCAAACAAGAGTTATAAAACTTCTGGAGATCATTTAATACCTGTAAAAATAAAACTACATTCCACTGTTTCCATGAACCCACTCAACAGATAGGTGTGGAAGCCCTGTATTATGTGTGGTCCTAAAAGTCATGCGGGATAAGGTGTGATGTCTTTGGCCACAGGACTGGTGGGCTCTTGGGAAGCCTGTTGCAGGACAGGTTGAGGAAGGAACACAGGGGAGGAGGCAGCTTCTGGTATATCCTTTTGCGTTCTGCTTCATTTCTCTTTTATATGTGTCTCTTTGTTTTACTGCAAACTAAAATGTAAAGATAGGCTTGCAAATATGAAAAATAAAATGCTTGATTAGTTTTGGTTACTGATTGTCAGTTATTGATCATTGCATTTGCATATTGTGTTTAGGATTTAATAAGGTTAATAATTTAGTAAGAGTTCTTTGTATTGATTGGTAAACTGCTTTCTTGGTCACAGGCTGTATCTGCTGTTAAAATTTGTATTTCTGTAGGGAAGATCTGGTGAGAGACTTGGATGAATCATCACAAATCCACTGACAGCATAAAAACCAGTTGATCAGCCAACCAAGAACAGAAACTTATGATTCACTACGAAGGATAGAGCCAATAGGTACTAGAAGATTGTAAAGGAGCCCATTTGAAAAAAGGAGCAAAGGCACATCTGTGATTTTATATGATACTCAGTTATCTGTGAACTGAATGTTTATATTGATAAAAGTATGCTGTTTTAACCTTGAATAGCTATGAAAATTACAAGTTGTATTTTTTATGACTGACTATAAAGTAGTAATTAGGTCAAACTCTTTTTAGTCTTAATGTCAACCAAATTAGGCAGTCATGCTAGTATTTCTTTGTTAATAATTACTAAGATAATGTGAGCACGATAAGCAGAGATCTACCATCTGTGATGTTCATCTACCAAAAAAGTTTTGAGAAAAACCTTACCATTAGGTAGGAACCTTTCTACAAATGTGTCTGGCATGGCTCCTGAACTTGCATTGGTCCAGCATTGTGGTATTAGGCCAAGGAGAGGAATTATAGGCACTGCAATTCATGCCTTATAGGAGCTTGCATTTATTGAGCACTTACTGTGTGGATACAATGTTGTAAGTGCTTTTCAGATAAACTGGCATTAAACTGAGACCCATGGAAGGTTGTATAATTTCCCCAGTTCACACAGCTAACAACATGCTGTGCTACTTTCCTCCTTCTGCTG